GTACTCTGGGCTGGTCCTACCCCTTTGTTCTTGCCGTTAAGTCCCCGCTGGCTGACCACCATGGGGCAACTTTCTACTTCGGAACACGAAGGTTGACACCTACAACGTTCCGTGCTGAGGCACGACTTTGCTCCACCTGTGATGGCGAAACTGTGAACCATCTCGTGAACGGCCTTGGCTGGTGCTGAATGTATTCGCATTGGTGGCTGCATGATGGTGCCCTCCCATCTCCTTACCGACGTACCTCGCGGGTTTGGGTGAAGGGACCTGATGCGTGCCGATGCGCAGGCCAGTGCCAAAGTGGCGTAGCCTTGTGTGAGATGCCTGGACTGGGAGGTCCCTCGGTGTCATTAAAACCCTGTGGCGTTAAGGGTTTGATAACTCGCCGTGGACTTTCCCCGTGGAATCGGTAGCTGCTGCTACCCTCTGACCGTGCGCCGGCACCTCTGAGGGTGGGCCCTTGTGCGCCAGGTAATCGGTAGCTGCTGCTACTCTCGCCCCCCCCTCTGGCCGTGCGCGGGCACCTTTGAGGGTGGGCACTTGTGCGCCAGGTTGACTGGTGAACCCTGTGCTCGGAGCTACTCCACTGGCTGACCACCATGGAGTGCCCTGGGCCGGTCTGGCCTGGATTGTTCTTGCTGTTAAGTCCCCACTGGCTGACCACCATGGGGCATATGCACATCTTTCATCCCCCCTTGGGAGTCTGACTTGCAACATCCTTTCGCCATTGAGTGTTGGTTGTCTTTCCTTGACAACGATTAAGCGATCCGAACCTCGTCTGATGACCTCGGGTTGACTAACCGCTGTCGCACCAGTGGCTACATGATGGTGGTTTTGTGAATCTGGCAATGTCGCATTTTGCGAATCCCCCACAAGCTCTGTGCTTCCTTGTGCACCGGGACTTCATTGACGACCTCGAGTACTGAGTCCGTGGGGTATCTAGTAGTTTAGCGCGATTGCTCGCTTTGTTTCTTCGGTGTCTGTTCTTTGGTGGTTTCGTGTTGTGTCTGGCGGGTTGTGTGCGCTGACTCTGTTTCACCCTTTTTGTCGAGCCCAACAAGACCGGCCTACTGTGCTACTGATGTAGTAAAGAGGCGCCAGAGGAAAAAAATTTTTGTTGTTAGGTTTTTTGTTCTTTTTGTTAAATATCATTTTTTGTGTAAAGACACATTCTTCACCCCCTTATTACCATGTCTGGACTGCAAAAAAAGAGGATCTGGTCACCCTTTCGCAAAGTGCGCAAGGCCTTTGCAATTTTTCCTTAAACCTAAAGCCTTTGTTTAAAGGTTTATCAAAAGCTTCACTTCTGCTCCTGTTGCAAGTTTTCTACCTACTGTAGTGGACGAAACGCAAGCGCAGCTACAATTGGTGTTCCTGCACAAAACCCCCCCATGATCATAACAATGAACATGCTGATTACAAAGAGCACAATGGATTGTTCTTGGCTGCTCACAGCCGATTGCTACAAGCTAAACAGCAAAATGTCCGTCTTATTGTCAACGCACTCATGTCAAAACGTGCCTCCTTTCTGGCAACAAATAAGACAAGTCCAGGGGTCTCAGCCGGCTTCTTCTGTGACCAAAGGTCCAGAACAGAGGGTGGTTTAAAGTCACCTTCCATCCCTGCTGCTATCGAAGTCAACAAACACTTTCCCATCGATCTCACTGTCTCGATCTGCTCGGCTTGCACTTACGGTCTTGAGGAACTGGATCATAGCTGGCTCGGATCACTCGCTCCGACGGTCCCAGAACCGCACCTTCACCCCTCTTCAGTCGCATGTTTCAAGTCATGAGCCGCCTTGGATTCCGCTGGCACACAAAGACAGAAGTTTGTCTGCTCCACTACCACCATGTGCGTTGACATTGCATGCTCTTCAACAGCAACCCGGATCGTCACTTCGTTGGCTGCAGTGCGACTCAAGCAGCTGGATGGCTGAATAACACTCAATAATGTTCTTGATCTGACTGATGATCTGGAGGATGTGAGTGGTAATGCGTTGACGCATTTACCTGGTTGTTGATGCACGCCTGGATGAGGTAGATGTGGGTGATCACGGGGATAGTGGAGCTGGACGTGGGTGGCTGTGTGGTGCGACTCGTTGAGGTCGACGAGGAATCTGGGTTGAAGCCGAAGATGATGAACTACTGGTTGCTGTGACGCCAATCTCCGGTTGAAGTTGAAGCCGACGGTGAGAATTGCTGGTTGTTGCGACGCCAAGCTCCGTTTGATGTTGAAGCCGAAGGTGAAGCTCTGCTGGTTGCTGTGACGCCAAGTTGCTGTGACGCCAAGCCCCGCTTCATGTTACGCTTGCTCTTCATGTTCTTCATGCTCTCCATGCTCTTCATGTTCTTCATGCTCTCCATGCTCTTCATGCTCTTCATGTTTATCATGCAGCGAAATAACCGCGGTTCATGACATGCACCTGCAACATGATCGATGTTAATGAATGTTTATATGAAAACACGGTTCTGGAACCGCACCTGGTCTTGGTTCTTTGGCTCGCTCTAAGCCGAGGGTCGGTTGTAGGTAACATCAAAGTGGACCCGTTAACCCCATATCTCCGGTTGAAGTTGAGGCCGAAGGTGAAGAATTGTTAGTTGCTGCGAGACCAAGCTCTGGTTGGAGTCTCCAGTTGACATTGAAGCCGAAGGTGAAGAAGTTTGCTGTGACGCCAAGCTCCGGTTGAAGTCGAAGCCGACTCCGAAGAAGATTGACGTTGAAGCCGAGGGTGAAGAGCTGCTAGTTGTTGCGACGCCAAGCTCCGGTTGAAGTTGAAGCCGAAGGACTGCTGGATTTTGCAAGGCCAAGTAGCCAATGGTGAAGAACTGCTGGTTGCTGTAACGCCAAACTCCGGTTGGAGTTGAAGCCGAAGGTGTAGAACTGCTGGTTGCCGCGACGCCAAGCTCCAGTTTGAAGTTGAAGCCAAAGACCCCGGTTGAAGTTTAAACCGAACGTGAAGAACTGCTTGTTGTTTGGATGACAAGCTCCACCTGATGTTGAAGTCGCAGGTGAAGAACTGCTGGTTGTTGCGCGGAGTGGGGCAGACGCTGTGGTGAGGTTGAGGCCGAAGGTGAAGAACTGCTGGTTGCTGCGGCGCCAAACTGTGGATAAAGTTCAAGCCGAGGGTGGAGAACTACTGCACACTCTTCGTGTCGATACTTGTGTTTACTCAATGTTGTTTACATGCTTTTATTCGCAGCTTGCTGATCCCGCTGCTTTGTGGGATCAAGCACGACAGCCAGCTTTGCAACCATTCAGCTTAGTTCATGCTTGCTTGAAGATTTTTTCCCGCCCACCACTCCCTGGGTTCACCTAAAGTGGTGCTTCAGTTGTGTAGCTTTGCTTCTTAGGTCTCTTTCTTGAAAGGGGCTCCAGCAACAGCTTTGCTGCTCAGCTTCTTTGCTTTGCATTGCTCAGCCGTTGCACCACCATTCTTCATGTTCTTCATGCTCTTTATGCTCTTCATGTTCCAGTCCCCGCTGTCAACAAGCGGGGCTGAGCCAGCTGTGCGGGCATGTGCGCCCATCGCGCCCTGCGCAGGTGCATGGCCGGCCCTGTTATCGTTCTGGCTGCAACTCGCAAATGAAAAATATCGAGTTGCGCATAAACGGTTTCATTTAACGAGTACAGAGTTCATTTCCTTTACTCAAGCCTATCCAAAGCAGACGGGGTGAAACGACGCCACTTACGTTTACATAGCAGCCAGCCCTACGAAATTAGACCCAATTCTAATCCCAGGCCTTCCGAAGGATTCTATCGAGTTATGCGGACACTTGATGGAAACGTGGAACATTCACTGTCCACAGAACAGAACGTTTTAGACCATGTTTCGTTTGGGGGAGTCTGTCATTCGCCAGGCACTGGCGCCTAGTTCGCACGTTTACGTTGAAGAGAGCTTCCTTTGAAACTTGAGAAACCTCTAAGTCCCAGTCCCAGGTTTTATTTGGGGAGGAGAATGCCTGTGCCTCGTCAGCCTTTGATCTGAATATTTGCTGTTGGAAAAAACACAATGTCCCTAAACCCAAACTTGAGAAACACCACAAATTCCCAAAACGTTACAGGAACATCTGGGACAAGCTTGAACTTTATGATTTCTTGACGGCTTTGTTCATGAAGAACATGGTTCGTGGCACATTGGTAGGGCGAAGAGGAAGCGAAGCAAGGCAGCTCGTCTATCTCTGAAAAGGCACTTCCCCTCGAAGAAGTTCACTAACAGCGTGCTTGATTTCTAAGCACACGTCGTGCTTTTTAGACGGGGTGACAATAACCTTTCGGGGCTTGGGTTTGCTGTTCAATGTCTTCGTTCGGAGATTCGCAAGGCAACTGCAGGGATTTAGATACTGGGAACCTCAACCTTGCTTGCGGGGCTAAGCTTGGGATGGCCTAACCTATTTGGGCGGCTTAATGGTGAGAATTTACATTCCCAGGCTCCTTGGAAGTTTCGGCACATCAGCCGCCATCTCCCCTTATGGTTTTTGTTTATCAAGCTCTACATATCCTTTTGGCGTTGCTGGCTTCCTGCTCTTCTCTATCTTCATGTATAGCTAAAAAACAAGGCAATTGCATCACCGACACGGAAGTTTCGACGTCGGCAAGCTTTTCTCAAGCATACACTTGTGTATATATGCTGCTAGTATATAGTTCCCGGCGGAGGAGGCTCCCCATGTGTGCCAGGAGCCTACAAAAGGGAAATGCCCCGGTTGCCACTGTGTGATATGTGTTGACTTCCTGCTGTGGGGCGGTTTTTTTTCTCCGCGCCCCTTTTGAACGTCCGCTGAACAGCAAGTCCGGGTCCCAGTGCGCTTGACGCTACACGCCGAGGAGGCTTGGGGTGGCCCGCATCGTGCAGCACCTCCTCGAGCGCAGGAAGCTGGGCGCCAGGCATGGCCCCATGAACGTACGGGGTTCCGGGCAGCGTGGCAGCAAGGGTGGTTTGCAAAGCCACGCTCAACAAACCCCACCAGCGGCGCAGCCAACCCTGGTTCGCGGCACCGCGCAAGGCGGCAGGAGTTACTGGGCAGCCTGGGCCGACGCGTTGCCCGTTCTCCGCGCTCACAGGCCGGGAGCATCGCTGAACTCGCTGCGGGGCCGGCCGCTGCCGACGCCTGCCTGCGAGCTTCCGAAAAGGCGGAACGCACGCTAGATGCCGCCGGATGGCACGGCCGCCCTACCTGGAACGACATTCACGATGGTCTGCGCCCCGCGCAGTGCGGCCTGCCTGACACTGGCGAGAGGTGCCAGCCCCACTTTCGCGAGACCGAGTTGCTGTCTGCCCTGCAACCCCCTGCCCGGGCCAGGCTGCGTTTGCAGGCCGGGCCACAGGCCGCCGCGTGGCTCAGCGCCATCCCAAGCGAGGCTGCCTCCGCTTTGCCCCCCGATCGCATGCTCATAGCTCTGCTGCGGCGGCGGCTGCGGTTGCCCTTGCCTGTCGCTCCACACAGATGTGGCGCACATGGCCACGAATGTGGCGCGGATGTTGATGCCTACGGCGACCACCACGCCGTGCCCTCGCCCTGGAACTGCCCGGCGAGCGAAACCCCTCGAGCACGCATGGGTTCGTATCGCGCGCGAGGCCAGCAGACCCGAGGGCCAAATGGCACGCACGCCTGCCCCTGGCATCGACCCTGCAGATCGCCGCCGCCTCGACTTCGTCGCTTCGTGACACTCGTATCCCCGTTGACGCGAAGGAGCCCAGCGCGAAGCCCAGTCCTCCCAGACGAGCTGGCAGCAACGCCAGACGGCGCGCCGCAGCGAGCTTTCCGGGTCCGCGGGCACTGAAGGTCGGGCAGCAGGGGAAGCTCCTGTAGTAGCCGCGCCTCCTCGAGCAAACGTGTGTCGGTGTGCGCTGCCACAAACCTTGGGCGCCCGATTGTGGTGCCGAGCGCAATGAAGCCGCGTTCGGCCTCCGGTGCGTCGCCTCGCCACACGCAGGCGCCGAGCGCGGCGATGCCGTTGTATACCCGGGTTTTTCCGAGGAGATTTTCTTGGTTTTTCCTCAGAAAACCACCATTCCCTCCATATGTTTTAAAGGGTTTGATGCATTTTCGTGGTTGTTCGTACAAAAAACCATAATTCCCTCTGTATTTTCATCGGAAAGCGTTATGTCTGGTAGGTTTTAGAAGGCAAGAAGGAAAGAAAGAAAGGAAGGAAGGAAGGAAGGAAGGAAGAAAGGAAGAAAACAAGGAAGGAAGGAAGAAAGGAAGGAAGGGAGAAAGGAAGGAAGGGAGAAAGGAAGGAAGCAAGGAAGGAAGAAAGGAAGGAAGCAAGGAAGGAAGAAAGGAAGCGTGCTTCAAAGACCAAGAAACTAGTTGAAAAACATCGTCTGAGCATTGTGTTTGCAAATGGGGGGGGGCTGCGCCCCCCCCAACCCCCCGCTTTTTTTAAGCCGTGCAGAGCGTGCTTCAAAGCCCAAGAAACTTGTTGACACCCATCATGTGAGCAGGGTGTTTGCAAGTGGGGGTGGGCTGCGCCCCCCCCCCCCCCCCCCCCCCCCCCAACCTGCCGCGCTGCTTTTAAGCCGTACCATGCGTGCTTCAAAACCCAAGAACCTAGTTGTAAAACATCGTGTGAGCATTGTGTTTGCAAATGGGGGGGCTGCGCCCCCCCCCAACCCCCCCGCTTTTTCTTAGGCCGTGCAGAGCGCGCTTCAAAGCCCAAGAACTTGTTGACACCCAGAATGTGAGCAGGGTGTTTGCAAATGGGGGGGGGCTGCCCCCCCCCCCCCCCAACCCCCCCCGCTTTTTCAGCCAAAGCCCAACTAATTAGTTCAAAACATCGTTGTGAGCATTGTGTTTGCAAATGGGGGCTGCGCCCCCCCCCAAACCCCCCCCCGCGTTGTTTTAGGCCGTGCAGAGCGTGCTTCAAAGCCCAAGCAACTTGTTGATTCCCATCATGTGAGCAGGGTGTTTGCAAGTGGGGGGCGCAGACCCCCCAATCCCCCCGCTTAAGCCGTACCAAGCGTGCTTCAAAGGTCAAGAAACTAATTAGTTGAAAAACATCGTGTGAGCATTGTGTTTGCAAATGGGGGGGCTGCGCCCCCCCCAACCCCCCTGCTTTTTGTTAAGCCGTGCAGAGCGTGCTTCAAAGCCCAAGAAACTTGTTGACCCCCATCATGTGAGCAGGGTGTTTGCAAACCCCCCCCGCTTCTTTTCAGCCGTACCAAGCGTGCTTCGAAGCCCGAGAAACTAGTTGCAGAAAAGTAGTATGAATCCGATGAAAATTTAGAGGGAATGATGGAAACCAAGAAAACGAACCAAATAGGGTTTTCCCGAGGAAAAACTCAGGAAAAGCAACGTACGCGTTGACATTTGACGAAATCCATCCAAAATGTAATCAGAATAGGGTTTCCTTAGGAAAAACCAACGAAAACCTCGTTTTCTTTTCAAACCGTGCAGAGCGTGCTTCAAACCCCAAGGAACTTGTTGACACCCGTCATGTGAGCAGGGTGTTTGCAAGTCGGGGGGCTGCCCCCCCCCCCGCAACCCCCCCCGCTTCTGTTAAGCCGTACCAAGCGTGCGTCAAAGCCCAAGAAACGAAGGAAATGACAGGATATCTGTCCAAAATGTAAGGACAATAGGGTTTCCCTGGGAAAAACCAAGGAAAACCCAAGGGAAATGACAGGAAATCCGTCCAACATGTAAAGAAAATAAAGTTTTCCCCATGAAAAACCAACGAAAACCTAAGGGAAATGACAGAAAATCCGTCCAAAATGTACGGAAAGTAGGTTTTTCCTAAAGAAAACCAAGAACATTAACACAAAAAAAAACACCTCAAAAAAAAACCCACCCGTTTTCCGAGGTTCGCGGCCGTGCCCGTCCGTGTCTCGATGGAGGCAGTGACGACACCAAGTGCCTCGCGCGAGCGGGCCGGTGTGGTGACCAAGCAGATGTCGATGGGGCTCGCGGCCAGTGCGTCCCCTTGCTCAGCTTTCACCCTGATAGATGGTCCCACCAGTAGTATGTGGACTGCTGCCCGTGCCACAGGAGCACGAAGGGGACGGTCGCCGGGGCGACGGCATGCAACTTGCGCAGGAATGTGCTGCGCGAGATCGTGTCGTAGGCGCTGCGGCAATCCAATGACACAATAGTCGCCGCAGAGTCGAGGTCGACAGCGGCGCGGAGCATGCCGGAGAGCGCGTCTGTGCCAGCCCGCGTCTGCAGCGCGAACTGGTGCGGCCCGGTCGCCTCGTCGAACGTGTTACGAACGTATCGGCAAAAGTCCTGGCAAGGCTGCGTGACACGAGACGCCGGAACGTATCGCCAGTAGCGATGCCGCGAACGATCGCGAACGCTCCCGCCGGCCTTGAGGCGCGCGGTGAGGCGAGAGAGGCCCATGGCGGCTGCGACGTTTGCGTGAACGCGTGCGGCGACGAGGAGGTTGGCGGCGTGCGCAAGCAGCTCGCGTGCCTCCGCGTCGTCGAGCAACAGCTTGTAATGCGCACACGTGGCACCCGACAGCGCAGCAGCAGTGCCGCGCTTGGCAGCCCGCAGGGCTTGACAATGGCGGCGTCGGCGAGCACTGCCGGCGCGTCCGGCTGAACGTTGAGCAGGGCAGCAGGCACATCGTGCAGGGGCGCCGGCGGGCGGTGTTGTTTGTGCCCGGAGCAATTGCCGGAAAGGCGCTGCGAGCGCGGGGGACCTCATCCCGCCGCACGTTTGCGCACGCGTGTGCCCGGCGCCCTTGCACGTGGAGCGCCCGCGGGCGTCCCAACGTCCAGCGAGGAAGTCACGTGAGCGTTGCAAGAGGGCCTCGCAGCCTACTGTGTCCGGCCCGCGCTCACGGTTGGAGCAGCAAACAGGAACGGTTTCCAAGCACGGGTCTGCTGAAGGGCTGTCCACGCGCGGACGAGTCGCGGAAAGCGCGCAGTGCGAGCGCTTGCATGCACGCCAGACCGCAAAAAGACCGGCACGCTTTGCATGGTTGGCACAGGCCGTGCCGTGCAGGTTCGATGGCATCACCCTTTCATACAAGAGTTAGGGCGGTTAGGATGCAGGATCGGGGAATGGAGCTTAAAAGGTTCTAGGCGCTAAACAGTTTTTCCTAATGAGTATCGAGCTTAGGCGAGTGTTCCTGGTATCGGCAGGAAGTCTTGGAAGGGGAGACTTGGTATTGCGGAGGCATCGGGGTGGGGGGAGGGGGAATGCAAGCTCCACAAAGCTTGCGCATGGCGACCTCCGTCGCGTTTTCTCCGAAAGCCCAAAAATACCGTTTGCGAATCGCATTTATCCACACATTACGGCCTCGGGCTTGCACAGCCGCCACGAAAGGAGTGCAGAAAAGGCGCTCTTGCGGTAGCATAGGCATCATCCTGGCTGGCGTTGGCTTAGGCTCATACCACCATATGAAGGCTTTGGGTCTGCACCGGGACCGCTTCGCTTTGGATGCCGGCAAAAAAGTGCGAGGAAACAAATGTGTGTCCTCCAAGACTCCAAGGCGTCGTTCAGGCTGCCGCACGCAGCGACGCATACCTGTCAGCGACGCATACCTCGGGGGAACGATGTCGGCCAAGGCAGTGGTACCGTCATGGCTGCGGACGCCAGCCGACTGGCTGCCACCCTGTTGCGTGTGTTCTATTCTTTTCTCTTGTGCACGCATTTCTGGCGTTAACTGATCATCACGGCCCGGCAAGGTTCCGGTTCACAAAGTGGGCTGACTGCTCCGTGTAGTTTCCGCATGTCTTGTACTGCATAGCACACTTCGTAATCCGGAGCAACGCTTCGGAAAAATGGGCGACCTTACATAAATTAAGTAAGAAGCAGCCTGCATGCCGGATGTTCCGGCTTCCTACGTGCCAGCTTCTGGAGCCGTGCCTGGGCCTTGTTTTTGCTGACATCCCGGGCGATGCCACCATAACTGAAACCCTGCCCGAGGCCAAAGCGCGGTGCGGCGCCGGGCTGTCCGGTGCATGGACATCGCTGTGGCATTGGCGGCCCCGCAGAAGCCGGATTGCGGCGTGCCCCAGTGGGGCTTTCCCAGTTCACGCGGGCGGCGGCTTGAACAGTGTTCAACAGCGACGGACCCCGCTCATAACGCGCTGCACGCGCTCGAGCAGCTGGCAGCGTCAGGCCGCGCCAGCGGCATGATGCAGCACGGAGGTGTGCAGGTGAGGCCGGGTGGAAGCGAAGAAATATCCGGTATGGGCGTGCGTGGGCGAGGTCTGTGTTTCGTGGGGTCGGTCCAAGCCGCTCACGTGGCCTCATCGCCCGGGGCCAGCGCGGAACCCGTTAGCAAGTGACGAACGCGACGAGGATGCCTCAGTGCTCATGACATCACCAGGTGTCTTCCTCAGCAAGGCCGGTAAGGCTGTTGTCGTGCAAAATGCCAGTCCAAGGGCTGTAACCAAGGAGACTGCGCCGGCGTCTGTTTACCCTGGGGCGGCACCACTTTGCATCCCTAGATGACCTGTACGTCATTTCCGCCGCCAGGACCTTGTTTTTCTTGCCCGGCCCTGTGCTGCAGCCCACCTGCTGCTAACGGAAGGTTGGCTGCCTGCGCCGCTTGGGAGTCTTTCCTGCGTACGCATCTCGCTCAGCCCGGGACGCAGGTCCTGGTGACGCTCGCGCCACTTACTTTCGGGTGCCGCTGCCGGCCCTCGCTGCCGGCCCTGGAGCTTTCTCACCAGGCTTTGCTGCATTCGCAGTGGGCCGCAGGCGGCGGTGTGGC